TCAGCCTCCCAAGTAGCTGGGACCACAGGCACCTGCCACAATGCCCAGCTATTTTTTGGTTGCAGCCATCATTGTTGTTTGGTGGGCCTGGGCTGTATTCGAACCCGCCACCTTAGGTGTATGTGGCTGGTGCCTTAGCCACTTGAGCCACAGGCGCTGAGTCGATATAACTTCAATGTGTCATATGTATCACATTCTTTTTCTTTTCCAGGATATTAGGGTATACGCATGTTTTATTTACACATTTTGTTTTTGTACAGATTGAGTCAAAGTTACAAGTGTCACCTTCACCCAGTGGGCAGTGTAGTTGTGAATTTAGCCATCCTGGTCTCTTCCATCCCCCCAGCTAGATTTTCATGGAGATTTTCATCCCTCTGTGCACGTATATGTCGATCGAGTGGTTCCAATTTGGTAGTGAGTACGTGTGTTTGTTTCTCTGTTCTAGTGATGTTTCACTTAGAAGAACGGTTTACAGTTCCTTAGAGGGTATCACAAAAGATACTTGATCACCATTTTTATGGGTGAGTAGTACTCCACAGTATACTTACACCACATTTTATCAATCCATTCACGTATTGGTGGGTACTTGTTTCCACATCTTTGCAATTGTGAAGTGTGCTGCTACAAACATTCACGTGTAGGTGCTCTTATTATACAATGACCTTTTTTCCTTTGGGTATATACCCAGCAGTAGGATTGCTCAATCAAATGGTAGGTCTACTTTGAGTTCTTTGCGGTGTTTCCATACAATTTTCCATAGAACCCATGTTAGTTTACAGTTCTGTCAACAGCATATAAACAGTGGTTCTCAACCTTCCCTTTGCAATGAAAATTATTTTATGATTGAGGGTCACCACAACATGAGGAACTGTATTAAAGGATTGCAGCATTAGGAAGGTTGATAACCACTGATATGAGAGTTCTCTTCTCTCTGCATCCGTACCAGCATCTATTGTTTTTGGACTTTTTAATATAAGTTCTTCTTGAGGGGATCAAGGGTAGAGTCAGGGGAAGAGTCTGTGAAAAGGAGAGTAGGATAGTGTAGGGATTGGAAAGGCTTTATTAGCAGTGGGAGGAGAGAAAAAAAGCAGAGTGGAGTTTGCCCGTGAGCCAGCTCACTTTCACATAGTTTCAAGAGGCTTTTTATTATCCCTTATCGGAGATAATAGGGTTGAATGTGGCAGGGGCTTCCCAAAGGGAGCCATCCCTTCTGAGAGGGACTAATTTTTGCACTCAGGACAAATCTAGAAGTTATTCCTTTAACTGGCCCCCAGCCAGGGCCAGAGAAAAGTTATTGTTCTGTTGTTTCCCAGGAACACTGTCTTTGAGGCATTCCAGGGGGTGGGCAGGGGGTTCACTGTGATCATCCAGTTTAGTTTTGGACCTGCTCCTTCCCACCAGCTGGCTCCCCATATGGCTGCATTCTTGTCAGAGAATGAGGATTCCCTTCTCACAATCCTCATTGGGGTTAGGTGATATCTCACTGCGGTTTTGATTTGCATGTATCATATTCGTAATTAAAAATATTTCTCCAATAAAGCAAAAACTGTTGCATAATTAAACTTGTCTCTCTACTCCTTTCTTACTGTGTCCTCAAAAAAAAAAGTAGAAAATGCTTCTCATCATAACCTACTTCCAGAGCTGAGATATCGATGACATTTGAAATGTCAGTCTTCGTAAGTCCCACCTTCCTGAAGTATGTTTCTACTTATCCTCTGTGTAGTGGTGGGCTTATGTAAGCATGCGTCGGAATCATCTGCATCTTGTTAAAAGACAGATTGCTGCTCCTGCTCCCAGAGTGTCCTATTGCTGAGTAGAAACTCAGCTTTAACTAAAGCCCAGGTGATGTTCACACTAAAGATTCAGTGACCATACTTAGAGACCTCATACTTCATTCTGACCATTGAAGCTTTGCAGAAGTGCCTAGTTTAAGACCCCATTCTGTTTATTAAACAGATTTGGTGAATGGATAATCTGAGAGATACAGGTTGCCAGCCACTGGGATTACAAACGTGATTAGGGTCTCCCCAGAGAGTCATAGGTTAGTGGGAGGACCATACACATAATTGTAATATAGTATAGTAAAGTGACATCAAAGGCACTCATAGTAGTGGAGTTCAACCGTGCTTAGAGCGAAGTAGCTAACATGACACATGGGTAGCTTTATTAATAAATTTTAATCAGTTTTCATTTACTTTTTGCGATGTATTAAAATTTATTTACATGGAAATGTACAGATCCTAAGTGTACTATCTGATGAGTTTTGATAAGTGGAGACCTCCTTGTAACCCCCACACATCAAGAAAAAGAATATTACTATTATGCCAGAAAGTTCCCAAATGTCACTTTAGGAAATTCTCCACCACCATAAGTAGGCACTATCTTAATATTTCTTCACTGTAAATGTGTTTTGGTCTAGAACTTTCTTTCCACTTTTGTTTTCTTACAAATTGAAACAGAGATGGCTGGTTAATTTTTAGCCTCCACTCAGCTACGCCCAATTTACTGCTGCCTTTGAAACCTAAACGGGCGGCACTCTGTGATTAAGCAAGGCAGAAGTGTGTTTACATTATGCCCAACCAACTTGTAATGAGAGGGCTACCAAACCTTTCTCTCTGTGTGTGTGCGTGTGTGTTTTCCTTTCCACCATTCCACCAACTAAAATGATTAAAATTTAATTGGGAACCCAAGCAACTAAAATCATTTAAAATTTAAATTTTAAATGATTAAAATTTAATTAATTGTATAGTATCTATATAACATAGAGAATTATCTTAGATTTGAAGGTATGTATCCCTAAATAATACAGTTTAGTTTTACATATTTTTGAATTTTATATAAATGGAATCTTACTACATGTATTCTGTATTTTAATTCTTTTGATCAATGTCATGTATTATCTGGGGCAAGCAGCCTCTAAGATGCCCCTTATTATTTCTGGTGTTCATGGTCTTATGTAATTACCTCCCCTTAAGGAATTTATTTCTAATGAATGCCATATGGCAACCTTAAATGATTAAGTAAGTACACTTTCATCTTGTTAGTAAACTCTCTCTCAGTTTGATGAAGCCCGTTGCTGTGAAGAAAAGATCCACGTGGTAAAAAATTGAGGGCAAGCTCCATTCAACAGCCAACAAAGAACTGGGGCTCTAACTCAATGGACCTTCAGGAGCTGAATCCTGTCAATAACCACGTGCATGGACGTGGAAACAGATCCTTCCTGGTTGATGTGGATCTAACTCCATTAGATGTCACAATGGAGAGACACATCAGATGTCACTCCAGTGACAGCTAACACCTTAATTGCAACCTTATAAAAAACTACAAAGTGGAGAATGAAGCTAAAGCTTATCTGAATTCCTGGTCCACAGAAACTGTGACATAGTAAATGTGTCTTGTTTGAAGCTGCTAAATTATGAGGTCATATAATGTAACAGTAGATGACTAGTATAGACTTATGAAGTACTACACCACCCACAGGAGAGGGGAAGACAAGTGGAAACACTAGAGCAGATCTAGTCTAAAGGCCAGTAAACTCAAAGGGATGACTGTGTCTGTTGGGTAGGCCTAGGAGAAACTTTGTTTACTAAGGTAGTAAGGGTCCAGCAGGTTAGGGGTCACTAGCAACACTAAGAAATCCAGTAGTGACTACTATGAAGTTGATATTCCTGATAAGGAATATTTTGTGCATAACTGAGTTCCCCAGTAGAGGTAAGGATGATATGATTCTAGAATAGCAAGGCTGAGAGACAGCATTTAACTAAGAATTAATGTTGGTATAATTATGTGACATACGGCACATTCAGAATGGCACTCGGGGCACAGTGTGACTCACAGGGCTCCGTGCTCATGGGTAACAGAACGTGGTGCTCCTTAGACCAGGAGACAGGCAGCCAGAAAGGATCTAGCCACAGCTGACTCTGTAGCTCCGTATCTGTGTCTATGTTTACATCTGCACTTGTATCTACGTTGACCCTTGAGTACCACAGGTTTCAACTGCATGGGTCCATGTATGTGGATTTTCTTCTGCTTCCACCCCTACTGAGACAGAAAGGCCCAACCCTCTCCTTCCTCCTTCACCTCCACCTGCTCAGTGTGAAGACAGACAGGGTGAAGACCTTCATGGTGGGCCACTTCCACTCAATGAATAGTAAATATATTTTCTCTTCCATGTGATATTTTTAATAACATTTCTTTTCTCCAGCTTATTTTATTTTAAGAATATAGTACATCATACATGAAAAGTGTGCTGATTGACTGTTTATGTTATCAGCAAGGATTCTGGTCAACACTGGGCCAACAGTATTTAAGTTTGGGGGGAGTCAACAGTTATACTTGAATCTCTGACTGTGCAGGCAATTGGTGCCACTAGCACTCCTGGGTCAACTGTATATCTGTATCTCATCTGTGTATTCACGTGTGTACATGTGTAAGTATATTTAAAGAGCTTAAGATTAAATGAGCAAAGGTTGAAATAAGTTGCTCCATTAGGAAGCCATAATCCCTCACCCAAGTTTCCAGACTTTGGAAAATCATCAGATGTAGAACTCACCAAGCAAAGGAAAGGCGAGTCCAGGAGAAAGATCACAGCAGGTATGTAGAGTAGTGGCCTCACTTTGCTCAGAGGAAAGTGGAATATACATATTCCTGTCACTCAGGTCTGAGATGACACTGGACTCTACTAAGGTGCCATGCCATGAGAAGAGCAGCCAGGGATTGCTCCTGGTGGGGAACAACAGGCAGTCTGGCTGGGGTTTGAATCTTCTATTTGCCATGCCCTAGCCAGCACTGTCATATGAGCACCCCAAAATGCTGGAGGTAGCAGCATCCTTCATCTTTGATCAAAATGACCCCATGTGAAGTACAGGATGGGTGGCAGTGGACAGATGATGTGGGATCCACTGGCCCCACTTTATACTGCACCATCCAGAAGCAGTTGAATGAATAGTGTGATGCAGCCACCTTTTGAAGCCATAGCTGCAGTGCCAGCATAGAAAGGACACCTGTGAGGAGGGAGCACTGTCCCCCAGGATGCAGAACACACCGTCACACGGTGCTGTGTCCCCGGTAGGGAAAACACATTTATGTGGAAAACCAGGGGGCAGAAAGAGGAGCTGCCCCCCACACCTTCACTCCCACTGACCACTTGGGGGGAAGTTTTGCTTCCTTCCCATGCAAAGTTACATTCTGTGGATCTGAGGGTCCTGACTCCAAGATAGGAGGAGCCACTTCCAGGAGACACAGGAAGGGTCTGATTAGAATTACAGTTATGGTTGCCAACGTCTCAGTTTGGGCTTCTAGTGCCAGGGGATCAGCATGTGAAGAAGGAAGCTAGTCATGCTGGCAACTGACCTTGTCCTTGTGAGGAAGCAGGACACTGCTGCACAATGGGGGCAAGAAAGAAATATTGAGCACCTAGGTGATGTCTGGGAGCATTCCTGGTACTTTTAGTTCCACTTCTCACTGGGAAGGACAAGGGCTACAGACACAGCCCTTGATAAAGACACAATAACCAGTGCTCAGGACTCCTAGGTTAGTAACTCCACCAGGCAAGTCACTTAGGCCAGCAGAAGTACAGCCCACTGACCCTCCCCTTGTAAGTTCCACTAAAAAGTGTGACCAAGTTGAAGTGAGTTTAGTGAGAGAAGTAAATGGGGGTGAGCAGCGCTGAATGGAATTTATGATGCTCTAACCAGGTCCCCTTTACTGGAAGGGAACCCACCCCCTTCTCTGTGGCCTCTTTCTCTCTGGAGTGGCCCATACCTAGTGATTAGTGCTGTGCACAGATGGAAGTCCAACCCTTGGGTAGGTCTGTGGTGCCATTTACACTCTAGAGCAGTAATTTTCAACCAATGTGCCTGGAACATTTTTAAAGATCATTAATTAAATTATTTTTGAACAAAGTTCAAAGCTCAGTAAGTACATTCTTTTTTTACTCTTTTTGTTGCTGTTGTTGTTATTCAACATAATTTAAGTGTACTGTGAAAGTTTAAATATAGGTTCAAGTATGCTATGAGATCAAAAAAGGTTGGTAAAGACTGGTCTAGAGCTTCCAATGGAGTCAGGAATACAACTGAACTGAACCTACATGTTAACTAAGTTGCTTCTACTACCACATCCTGTTCCCTGCAGTTTCCTACAGATTTCTCCCGAGAGTGTTTTCTTTTTATATAAATCACATGTGTAAGAATCCCTGCTTTAAGATCTGATTTTTGTGAATGTGGCTTAGTGTAGGGCAGTTGTCCTCAAACTACGGCCCACGGGCCACATGCAGTCCACCTAGGACATTTATCCAGCCTGCTTGGTGTTTTTGCCATTGTTGCCTGTCCTGCTTAGCAGCTGACTCATCCCTGGGCCCGCAGTCTGGCCCTCCAACAGTCTGAGGAACAGTGAACTGGCCCCCTGTTTAAAAAGTTTGAGGACCTCTGGTGTAGGGTGTCTCCCTTCTAACACATTCTCCACTGGGATGAGAGTTACTAACATGGTGATTTTACACCAGACCTCAGATACGATGATTAGTCTAAAACATCTGTGCAAAAATTGAAAAGCAGAAATTGCTAAATGTTCAGCAGATAGAAAACCAGTTCAGTTGACAATAAACTCAAAAGTTAACCACAAAAGTGCTCAGAATGGTACTAAAACTGAAATTAGGAACACTGGTGACTTAGATTGGGTTCCTTGTGGAGCAGAGGCAGAAAAAGGAATTCGAGATCACGTGGGTATATTTGGGAGATGAACCCAAGAAGTGTTGTGGGGAACTTGGGAAATGGTCCAGGGAAGAAAGGGGAGTGAATAGAGGGTGAGTTAGTAACCAGCATTCCTCTGAAGGCAGCTGGAGTTCTAGCCCACTGAGGACCTCTGGAAGACAGGCCTGACAGAGCCCCCACTCGAGGGGAGATAATCTAGGACAATTATCCACCAACTCCCATTCTTTAGTTGAGTGCGGGTCCCAGAGGTTTAAACTCTCCAGCCTCCAAGCTTGCTCCTGTATCCAGAGAAAGTCCTCCACAGAAAGCTCAGGTGCTTACTCCAAGAAACCCTCTTCCTCTATTAGAATGCAGAGTGCTGGGGAGTTGGGGGTGGAGTCCCTGAAATCATCTGCTATAGTCTTCTCTCTCTGCAGAGAAGAACAACCAAAAAATTGACAGGTGGATGACAATTCAAGAAGGAAAAGTAATGAGACATGATACCCATACATTAGTATGTCCGGAAAAAGATTTATTAAAGACGTAGTACTATTTCCATGTAAGAAATCATGACAGAAAGCAGATGTTTCAACTGGGAAGACATGGCCGTAGATCTATTTCAGAGAACATTCAAACTTGTTGTTTATTTAGTAGAGGAATAGTAACAGGGATGGGGTGGGGACAGTATATTTGGAAGCCAGACTCAATCTAAGAATTAGAGCTAACTGGCCTCGTGTGATTTGTCTCACAGATGCACTATATCAACAGAATTGGTTAATGAGGAACAGATCAGTGCAGGTTGGAGTGCTCAGCAGCAAGAACCACTAGAGCAGACTGGGCGGCAGCAGGTGGGCTGGCAGCACACAGACTGGCAGCACTGGGGCCTGCAGCAGCTGGACACGCAGCAGCTGGGGCGGCAGCAGGTGGTCCTGCAGCAGGTGGTTTGGCAGCAGCTGGGGCGGCAGCAGATGGGCTTACAACACAGGGACTGGCAGCACTGGGGCCTGCAGCAGCTGGACACACAGCAGCTAGGGCGGCAGCAGGTGGTCCTACAGCAGGTGGTCTGACAGCAGACTGGACGGCAACAGCTGGACACACAGCAACTAGGGCGACAGCAGCTGGACACACAGCAGCTGGGGCGGCAACAGGTGGGCTGGCAGCAGACTGGACGGCAACAGCTGGACACACAGCAACTAGGGCGGCAGCAGCTGGGCTGGCAGCACACAGACTGGCAGCACTGGGGCCTGCAGCAGCTGGACACACAGCAGCTGGGGCGGCAGCAGGTGGTCCTGCAGCAGGTGGTCTGGCAGCAGCTGGGTTGACAGCAGGTCTCCTGGCCACAGCCCTGGTCAGAGCAGACGGAGCCACAACAGGAGCTGACCATGGTGTCAAGGGTAGAGTTTCTACGTGGGTTTCTGGGAAGGTTGGTTTAGGAAGTCTGGAGGTCTTCCCTACCCCAGGTGCCCTTATATACCCGGCTGAGGTACAGCTGTCACTGGATGCACCACTCTTTCCTTGTCATTGTTTTCCTGATAATAGTTAATTATCCAAATTAGGCAAGCTTATTTCCCTGGTTAAATTTTCACATGGATGGAAAACATTTCCTTTCCTGCTGTGTGTTTCCTCCATCAGCTCTTCTGAATCACCTCTGTGTCCTTTCTTTGGCTTCCTCAAACAGAGCCACCGCACGACATTCTGCCAGTAGGTGCTGTGAGCTTCAGTCTCATTTGCAGGTACTTCATGTCGGCCGTGGCATGATGATGCTTCTGATAGGCCCAGAATTTTTTCTGGTGACTCAGGAAGGGAAGGCTGTGTTTTACTCTATGGCTCTTTCATTATCTGTCAGATGGTTAAATCTAAGTACTTTATTTCTTTCCATGCTATTTTAATGGAATTGTTTTCTTTCCTGTTTTACCAAATGCTTTAATTATAGTCTTCAAGGTTTTTGTTACATATAACCAAGTCATCTGTAAACACAGACAATTTTACTTCTTCGTTTCAATTTGGATGCTTTTTATTTCCTTTTTTAGCTGGTTGCCCCTGGCTGGGAGATCCAGTACTATATTGAATAAAAGTAGTGAAAGTGGGCAAACTTGTCTTGATGTTTTTAGAGGAAAGGGTTTTAGCTTTTCGTTAAGGATAATGTCAGCAGTACATTCGTTATATATAGCTTCTATTGTTTTGAGGCTCCTTTCTTATTCTGAGTTTTCCATCAGGAAATGATCTTGAACTTCCTCAAATGCTTTTCTTGCTTCTATTAAAATGATCATAGAGTTTTTGTCCTTCATTCTTTTAATGTGGTGTATCACGTTTATTAATTTGTGGATATTTAATCAATCTTGCAATCCAGTAATAAGTTTCATGGGATTGAGACACAGGATTTTTTTCAATGTGTTTTTAATTTGGCTTACTAATATTTTGTTGAGAATTTTTGTGTCTATGTTCATCAGGCAATTTTCTTTTCTTATTGTCCTTCACTGGTTTTGTTCTAAGGGTAATGCTGGCGTCCTAAACAACGTTTAGAAAAGTTATCTAATCTTCACAATTTCAAAAGCGTGTGAGAAGATCTGGCATTAATCTTTCTTTAATCGCTTGGTAGAACTCCCCCTGTGAAGCCATCGGGGCCTGGGTTCTTTGTTTTATTGGAGGCATTTTATTGCTAGTTCATTCCTTTTATTCATTTTTGGTCTGTTTGTATTTTTTATTTCTTCATGACTCACTCTTGAGTAAATTAATTGTTTCTGGGAACTCATCCCTTCCTCCTCCGTTATCCAAACATTGTCTTGTAATTACTCTTAGCAGTCTTTTATGAGTCTTTGTGTTTCTGTAGTATCGTTTGGAATGTCTTTTTTTTATTTTTTATTTTATTGGAGTCTTCACTCTGTTTCTCAAGGTTAGTCTAGCTAAACGTCTGTCAATTTTACTTATTTTTTCTAAAATGCCCTCAGTTCAGTTATCTTTCCTATTGTTTTTCTATCCTCCGTGTTATTTATTTATGCGCTATTCCTTATTTCCTTCCTTCTACTAAATTTGGGCTTATTTTTTTTTCTCGTTCTTTGAGGTTTAAATTTGAATATTATTTGAGACTTTTACTTTTCATGTAAACATTTACTACTATAAACCTTTTTCTTAGAATTGCTTTTACTGAATTGTATACATTTTGGTAAGTTGTGGTTTTGGATTCATTTCTCTGAAGGTATTTTTCTATTTCCCTTTTAATTTCTTCTTTGAACCACTGGTTGTTTAAGAATATGCTGCCTAATTTCCACCTTTCTTATTCTCCAATTTACCTCTGGTTTTGGATTTCAAGTTGCATACAGTTATTGTTGGAAAAAATGTTTTCTATGATTTTAATTCTCTTAAATTTGTTAAGAATTGTGGTGTAGTTTAATCTATTACCTATTTTAGAGGAGATTTCATGAGCACTTGAGTAGAATGTATATTCTGTTCCTTTTTTTTTTTTTTTTTTTTTTTTATTCTGTTCCTTTTGGATGGAATGTTCTGTATATGTCTGTTAGGATTATTTGGTCTATGTGATTGTTTAAATTTATTGTTTTCTTCTTGAGTTTCTACCTGGACAATCTGTCCATTTTTGGAAATAAAGTACTTAAGTCCTCTACTATTATTACATTGTCACTTATTTCTCTTTTCAGTCATATATTTTGTATATATAGGTAATTCTGTACATACATATAAAAAGGAGCAAAAAAAAGTACAAACATTTTCAGAAAGGAAAAAAATGTATTAAATTTATATGTTTGACTTCTGCAATTAGAAGAGTTGCTCAATGAGACTTGAATTCATCTTTTATAACCAGTATATGTTGAGTATTACAATTTTAATACAGTTTTTTCCTTTCTGAAAATGTGTATACATTTTTGGCACACTATATATACACTATATATGCATTAAGTTCTGCTAGTTTATATATTTATATATTATATATATTCAGTTATGTTCTATTCATGGATGCTCCAATGTTGGATCCAAAAATATTTACTAGTATATTGTTATATCACCCTGATGAACTGATCTCTTTATCATTATATAATGACCTTCTTTGTCTCCTCTGATAGTTTCCCACTTAGAGTCTAGTTTGCCTAATACACATATAGCTACCTCTGCTCTCTTTGGGTTACCATTTTACATAAAATATATTTTTCTACCTCTTCACTTTCAACCTGTGTGTGTTCTTAAAGTTAAAGTGAGTCTTTTGTAGAGAGCACATTGTTTGGTCTTGCCTTTTATCCACTCAACCACGCTTTGCTTTTGAGTTTAGAATTCAATCCATTGACATTCAAGGTAATTATTGGCAGCTAAGGACTTAACACTCCCATTTTATTAATTGGTGTTTTACTGTTGTATTGATATTTTGTTTGTTCGTTTCTTCCTGGCTGTCCTTCCTTTGTGGCACTGCCACAATGCCTGTCTATTTTTAAAGATGAGATCTTGCTCTGGCTCAGGCTGGTCTCAAACCTGTGAGCTCAGGGAACCCACCCACCTTAGCCTCCCAGAGTGCTATGAGTACAGGTGAGACACTGTGCCCGGTCAATTCTGGTATTTTGATTCTAAATCAGGAATTTTTAAATTAGTTGAGACAATATTACTATAAATTCTGACTCAATCGTAATCAAAAGTTTCTGTAAAGGAAATAAATAATATAGAGACCAGGGTTTTCAAATTAGGTCATGGGTCTGTTTGTAAGTTCATATCCTCAGGAAGTCTCTGCATTCTGTGAATAGATGCTCTCTGCCTGGACTGAAGGATGAGGGGGCATGATAGTTCATGGATCCAGAGTAGGACACTCAGTAGCAAGAACTGCCACAAAAGCTGGGATGGCAGCAGACTGCTCTACAGCAGGTGATCCTGCAGCAGGTGGTCTGGCAGCATCTGGGATGGCAGCAGCTAAAACCACAACAGGAGAGATGGCAACAGCTGGAGATGCAGCAAGAAAGCCTGCAACAACCGGAGATACAGGAGGCAGCGCAGCAGCAGGTGGGCTAAAAGAACAGGGACTGGCAGCACTGGGGCCTGTAGCAGCTGGACACACAGCAACTGGGGCGGGAGCAGGTGGTCTGCAGCAGGTGGGCTGGCAGCAAGGGTGACACACAGACTAGCAGCATTCGGGCCTGCAGCAGTTGGACACACAGCAGCTGGGGTACCAGCAGGTGTTTCTATAGCAGGTGGTCTGGCAGCAGCTCCAAGTCTCCTGCCAGAGGCCTTGGCCACAGCCCTGATAAGAGCAGATGGAGCCACAGCAGTAGCTGACCATGGTGTAAGAGGTAGAGGTTCTGGGTGGGTTTTCAAAAGAGTATATTTCTTGAATCTGGAACTCTCTCTGCCCATACATCTCCTCTATGCCCTTCTAAGAGAGCTCTTTCCTTGTTATTGTTTATCCTAATAAGTTAGCAGCTGTTAAATTAGGGAATATTATGTTTTCAGACTTGGATAAAATACATTATTTTCTCCCCACCTCCCAAAGGGAGTATTATTTATCTTACTGACTCTTCCTGAAGCACATCTTGTGTGTCTCTTTCCTATGTATACATCAGCTCAGTTCAGATTCTGGATAATTATTCTAAAATAAGTGTGTTGACTCTCACTCCTCTTCTCTTTTCTCCTGAATCATCTTCTGTCATTCCTTTTCTGTAGGCCTCATCGATGTTTACAGATACTCCAGCTTCTTGGTAGAGCAGTTGTCATGTGAAGTTTGACACAAAGGAGTACAAATGTCATTCTTCCCCATCTAGGGGTTCATACCATGTCCACTATTTTTGTAACATCTCTTATGAAAAACTAGTTTAGTCACAGGTCCAGTGTAGATATAATCAAATCTCCAAAGTGTTGACTCTTAGCATTGGAAGTCTAGGTAAAAATCCACTAGTGTGGTCAGATATAACCAAAAGTGGTCAGGGGGCAAAGATAGGAGAACCCCCAGGATACTCAAACTATATTCTCACTCTATTCCCTGGATTTGAATATGACAGATATTGACTTTTTAAATATCAAATACGTATCTAGAATGGACACAACCCTTCAGAAGTCACCACTGGAATTGGTAGCTGTACTTAAGCTACTGAAAACATTTATATTCAAAATTGATTATAAGGTATAATCAATTATTTTTTAAAAGTGTATAGCAAACTATTGATATGCTTACCATAAATAGTAACAGTATTTATCTCAGGGTTGATTGGATTATGGAAACTTAGTTTTCTTCTTAATACTTTTTTCTTCTTTTTTTATTAATTTTTTAATTTCACATTAATATGAAGGTACAAATGATTAAATTACAGTGTGTACATTTGTTAGGTGAAGTCCTTGTAGTTGTGTCCTGCACCCAGGAGTTGTGCCATATACCCTTATATTATGCCCATTAGATGGGCACTCACCAATCCCCTTCTCTCCTCACCTCTATTCTCTCTCCTCTGCCCCCAACTTGAATAGAATTCAGTTTTTCTCTTGTGTGGGCATGTATTAGTTCATCTACTGGCTTCATATTAGTATTGAGTACATTGGATACTTGCTTTTTTCCATTCTTCTGATGCTTTACTAAGAAGAATTTGTTTCAACTCCATCAGGTTAATACAAAAGATGTAAGGTCTCCATCTTTTTTTAAGGCCGAATAATATTCCATGGTATACATATACAATAGTTTATTAGTTCATTCATGGGTTGATGGGCTAGGTTGCGAAACAGCTTAGGTTGTTTCAACATTGTGGCCATTATAAATTGAGCTACAATAAACAATCGAGTGCAAATGTCCTTATGATAAAATTATTGTTTTTATTCTGGGTAGATGACTACTAATGGGATTATAGTATTTTCTTCTTTTATATTACAACTTGTTTTTCTTTTGTAAACAGGAAAAAATTAATAAAACTTTGTTATGTTTTATCATCTTCATCATGACCTTCAGAGTTTGGTGGCTAGGGTATCCTAGGCCAGTCTGACGTTCATCCAGCAGCACCAGTTCAACTGTGCTGGCTGTTAAGACATGGAAGTTCTGTTGGTAGGAAGCTACTGCCCTATGCTCCCTGACGGCCCTCCATCCAACCCCATGATGACCAAGAACACCAGGTTCCTTACTCTGTTTCATGCTGATTTTTCCACTGAGCCACAAACTTTCTACTCAATATTTTCCTTTAAATTGAATAATGTCCATCTCCAAGTTGACATGATCAGAATAAAACTATTGGTTTCCCTCTTCCCCATACTTGTTTCTTTACTTCTTCATATCAGTTAATAGCACTGTGGTAGGTTCAGTTTGTAATCTAAAATTCTAGGTGACCCGTATTTAATCCCATTCTCTCCCCCTTGTCTACTCCATGAATAAGTTTCCACTATCTCTCCAAAATATTCTTAATACATTTGCTTCTCTCTGGCCCCAATGACACTATTTATTTATTTATTTTTGAGGCAGAATCTCACTATGTCACCCTCAGTAGAGTGCTGTGGTATCACAGCTCACAGCAACTTCAAACTCTTAGACTTAAGCGAATATCTTGCCTCCAAGTAGCTAGGACTACAGGTGCCCGCTACAATGCCCGGCTATTTTCTCACTGCAGTTGTCATTGTTGTTTAGCTGGCCCAGGCCAGGTTCAAACCCACCAACCTTGATGTATGTGGCCAGCACCATAACCACTGTGCTATGGGGGCTGAGCCAGCACTATTTTTAATCTAAGCAAATATGTTCACTCACTTCTAGTAATGATTTTTATTTTTTAAAAAAAAAAGCAGTAAATCATTGCCAAGTGTTTCACCTTGACACTGTGGAAGGTGATCCAACATGGAGTTCTGATCCTCCTTAGGGTCTATCCATCTCCCTGAAAATTCAAGATACCCACATGGGATCACAGTCATCCTCACTATAGATGGGACAGCCTCCCCTCAAATGAGTTTTTCCTTCTCATTTCTTTCCAACATTTCACCTGACCAGAGCATTCTTTGACAACAAAAGATATATTAGCATGGGAAAGCTATGTTCCATGATTTTCACAGAGCAATGTACAGATAGAAGGAAATGTCCCAATTAAAGCTGAAACATCAGAGAGTCATGTGCTTTGTAAAAGACCACGTGTAGGCAGGAACAAAGGTGTCCCCCATTAAGGAAGAAATATCACAAAGTGTGTCAATTGGAAATACAGGAGCACACCAGGAAAGGGAAATGTGTTTTTTCCTCTATTTGAGAGTATTTAACTAGAAACACATAATTATGTAACTAAATGATTAAGTTTTCCAGGAGGCTATGTAATAACAAGGAAATAATGACATGGTGACAATAAATCTTCAGCTGGGTATAAAGGGGAGAGGGGCCAAGAAGACTTCCAGATCCAAGATCTTCACTCTCCTAGAAACTCATCCAGAACCTCTACCCTTTAACACCATGGTCAACTCCTGTTGTGGCTCCATCTGCTCTGACCAGGGCTGTGGCCAAGAGACCTGCTGCCAACCCAGCTGCTGCCAGACCACCTGCTGCCAGACCACCTGCTGTCGCCCCAGCTGCTGTGTGTCCAGCTGCTGCCAGCCTACTTGCTGCCAGACCACCTGCTGTCGCCCCAGCTGCTGTGTGTCCAGCTGCTACAGGCCCCAGTGCTGCCAGCCCACCTGCTGCCATCCCAGCTGCTGCCGCCCCTGCTGCTGCCCCTCCTGCTGCCTGCGTCCAGTCTGTGGCCAAGTCTCC